ATACTTCTTGTAAAGTGCAAAGACTTGCGGTCAGAGCTTAAACAATTTCATAAAACTTGACAAAAAACTTCATCGTATACAAAAAATCTTTTTACAATTTAAAAATTAAATAAAAATGATAAAGAACGACCATTATATTCAAAGTTTGTATGAATGTCGAGGAATGTAAAGGGCCTTATTACCGGGGCCCTTGTATAAATGATTGTGATTGATGGCGTACAAGACATACGCCTCCGTACCTACAGGCATCGGTGAAAACAAAATAATGATTCATAAAGATGGAAATTCAACTATAGAAGACAACAGATTTTAAGTCAAACTTAAATCGTTTCTTCAAATAATCACTACATAGTATAAAACAAAGTCGCTATCCGCCGTCTGTCTGTCCCTATGTAGGTATGCTTAGATCTTTAAAACTACGCAACGGATTTTGATGCGGTTTTTTAATAGATAGAGTGATTGTTAAGGAAGGTTTATATGTATAATACATGCATATTGCACCCGTGCGAAGCCGGGGCGGGTCGCTAGTTTTAAATAAACTACGTTTAAAAAATTTACTTATTAAACTCAGTTAATAAGTATACTAACGCCTACTCCTTAGTATACAGATATTTTTCTGAAAACCGCGTCAATGTCGGTTTAGCCAATTGAAAGATAATCGCGGACAAACATACATACATACATAACATCACGCCTTTTATCCCCGAAGGGATAGGCAGAGGTGCACATCGTGCCATTGTACAATGTAACACCCACTTTTCACTATTTATGTTATGAGTTCCATGTTATAGGGGGTGAGCCTATTGCCATATACCGGGCACAATTCCAGACTCCGTGCACTTGCAACCATTCGGCCAACGAGGCAGTCACTGTCACACAGTCGCGGACAAACATACTGGTCAAATTAAAAATATCCTTCTTTTTTCAAATCGGTAGTAGAAGTGTGCATGGGTGGCGATGGTTTACTATTAGGTGATTCGGCAGCTCGTTTGCCGCCTTATACCATAAAAAAATTACTCACAGGCGCAGGCGCTTTGAAATGTTGAAGTATAAATTGTCTGTCAGTCGTCAATAAAGTTGGGTGATTCGTGACAAATGTCCTCAGAATTTATGTTAAATGCATTTGATTGAGCGATAACGAATTTTCTAGAAGTTTATGCGCTGTTTAGTAACCAGATTTGGACGTTCACTTGATTGATTCTAAGGTCAGCAAGGATTTATAGTTCTTTATTGCAGAGATACTAGCTTTCTGCATGCGGTTACGCCTGTGTAGAATTTAAAAGATTTTGCTCGAATAGATATCGATTTTGTGGGAATATGGGAAAAAGAACCAACTTATGTTAGGCCCTGAAAAGTAAAATTTTCGGTAGTGCAACTATTTTACAAATTGGTCAAGTAGTTTCGAAGCATATTCAATGCAAACAAACATATAATCAATCAGAACTTACGTCTTTATCATGCATGTATAGAGACGTAATAAAAGTAATGGTCACGAAATTATTAGATTTATGTCATTCATAAAGTGTTTGCTAATCTTAAAGAGACATTTCACGAGTTAAATAAGCCAATTTATGGATTTAACTATGAAGTGTTCCTAGTAAATTAGTCATTAAAACTGGACGAATGATTGTAAAATTGCGAAACGTAGAAGGGACATAAGACCTTAATTGAAGAGTAAAACGCAAAGTAGGCCAAAACCACTAAAAATGTCAAGCAGTTTAGGAGTGAACGCGGAGCAAACAAACACTTAGGTACATTTATAGGCAATTTAAGGGTGATAAGTTTGTCAAGTTAACAGTTTTCTTAAGGCATAACTTATGTTTTAACATTCGATATTGTTGTTATTTAAATCATATAGACTCGACATTGAACAGATATCGAAATTCAACCCGACAACGTTTGAGTCATTTCGATTACGAAATGGCAAATCCAAATTCGTACTCATATATTTACTAGAATTTCCCTCGCAGCTTCACCTGTTAAACTTTGCACAAGCATCATCCACTAGAAAAATCTGCATCGAAATCTGCTTAGTAATTTTTGAGTTTATCGCGAAATGTAGCCCAACAATCAGACGTACAGACAGACAAGAATGGTGGGTGCTTTGTTTAATGCATTTATTTGATAAAATGCATTGTTTTATAATACGTGTAGTATATGTTTACAAGTCTTGGTTACTTTGCAGATCTCGATGGAGACATGGATCTTCATTTGGAGTGATCTGTGACACGTTGTACTTAAGGACGGTTCTTTATTCACGTCAAACAGCCTGCACGTGACGTCTAAATGCATTATTAATTGCATCCCAGTGCTGTAGCTGCCTTTATAAGGTATTTTTGAGACTCCTATTGAATATGATGGTTTGTAGTTTATTTTAATTAAAAATAAGTACCTAAATATAATCCTTTGACAGAAGTATTTGATGTTTTAAAGTTGCGTTATTACACATTTGAATGTAATAGGACAAGTCTATATCAGAGTTTGTGATAATACTCAGAGAATGACAGAAATCCTAAAATTCAATGTAATATTTAACCTTTTGAGCGCCAATGTCACATATACGCGACAAGCGAAAACTGTCCCTGGACGTCAACGACACAAATACATGACAGAAAAAGCGGAACCAGAAACACGAATTATTGGAATCCCTATTGTTGATACAATAGGGATTCCAATAATTCCTATTTCTTTCGTAGAAATTTGCGTGGAATTTGTGGCTTGGTGTCGAAGGCAGGTTCATGTGTTTTTGCTCTGGCGTTCAAAAGGTCAGAAGTCGAAATCGACTATTTTCAGCAGCCATAAAAAATTAACAGGCATACATATTTCCAATAAGCAATAGATAACAAATTGACCAATTCGCCTAGGGATGGTTCTACAAACATAATCAGAAATCCACGAATAAACCACTTATTTCAGCATTCCCTTTCATAATATTTATACGTACTATACTTATATGTAAAACAGATGTAAACGTCACGAGTTAATGGCAGCCATCAGTCGGAGTCTAATGCGTTGCGACGCAAAATAAAACAAGTGCGCAAATTGTTTTAAATGGGCAGGTAGGCTCGCGCCCGCCTGACCTACAGACGAGCCTTATTGCCAAAAACGAAAAATTAACTTTTTAGGGTACTGTAAAAGTGTGGAAAAACTTGATGAACTAAGTTGAATTGGGTAATTGCTAGTCACATTCAATACTTTTTTCGAACTGTCAAAACGACAGTTTTCTATGAATTTTGTACGATATTGTGTATTGTGACGTCACGTTTTTTAGCTTCAAACAGCATACTTATTTCTTAAAAATTTGCTATCAAAATACTAAAATTAAGTTGGTTATAAAATCAAATAATAAAGTCGAAAAATTTACTTTTGTATTAGGCAAGTTTCCAATTGAAGATTAAAAAATATTTATAAGTGCTGGCTGTTGTATGTGGAAAATAAACTACAATATTCATCTCTGTCGGTTTACGGTTGAAAATATGCGTATGCAAATAAAAAATGGATTTGTGCATTCAAATCCAAAATGGGAAAGGCTTAATTGAAAACGTAAATCGTCAAGTATTAAATTAAAACATAATGTTAAAATGTTCAGAAAGTCAAATTAATATGACGAAACTGGGTACAAAAATTACTTATTTTTCACAATTCTTGACGTTTTTTTTAAGTTTTATGTATAAGTGAGCTAAGCCAACAGCTAAAAATATTGTTGTATCCGAATTAAACTTTGTAAAAATAATATAGTCGCCAAAACAAGGTACTAAATTTTTATGAGCAAGACCTGTGCATGGGATGTAATAAAGCAGAAATTGCCTTCGGAAACGTAACCTTTTTTGATAATTTTAATAATATAAAACTTAAAAATAAAAGTAGTGTCTAATATATTTTATAAGAACATTGAGTGGACATAAGGTGAGGTCTGTGTGCACAATTTTTTTTTTATAGACTTTGCCCCGCACTAGGTTTATCTCCTGTGTCGTGGGTGCATTGACAAACATACAAGTTCACATACACATGACACCCAGACCAGAAACAACAATTTTTGGATCACACAAAGTGATGTTCCGTGCGGGTATCGAACCCGCGACACGTTCCACGGCAGCCGGTTGCCCAGCCACCGCACCAACCGTACAGTCATTCGTATAGATGACGTAGTAAGTACTCGTAGTAGTCTTCTATCCATCTATCTTTTTGAATTCAATTAATATGTCCGACTTCCCACGTCTATAAAAAATATTAACACCTAACTTAATATGTAAAGTGAAGTAATACCGGGGCTCATAATCAAGAGCTGCGTGCGCAGCGATCAACATCACACAGCCAAAATAGTCTGCCTTTAATATTATCTAAATTTAGCATTTACGACAATTAAAATACACAAGACAAAACTGAGTATGTAAGACTCAGTATATTTGTAACTGCACAACTCACACTTGACCGCAGTTCAAATTTTACGATTCCGTAGCGAGCAAGGTTAAAGATATTATTTGGTCTGAAGTATTTAGTCACGTCAAACGCGAAATGTAGTTATAATTCACACGGAACGCTTATACATATCACGGCTTTATTCTGCAGTATAGGCAGTGTGCATACAGTACATTGTTGGAGTTTTGCATCAGTTGTTAGTCTTGTACAATAGGAAGCATGGTAATTAGGAAGATAATAGGGCACCAAATAATTTAGAGGGTCTAATAATAATAAATTAAGGGGTGATTTTTCAATGTTTAGTAAAATTTTATCAGAGGAATAACTTTGAATATTTATCAATTGTTCCACTACAACACTAAATTATGCCATAAAAAAAACACTGTCAAATGTCAATTTTATTCTACAGTTAAGAAGTTAAGAATTAACTCATGATTGAAAAATCGGCCCTAAGAACTGTTAAATAGATTATTAGATGAAAATATGACTATTGTATCGATATTAGATACAGGTATTCCGTATTATTATGGAATTAAGATTCATAATGATAAAATTAAAGATGTGAGTAGGAATCCACTTACCGGTTCTGTTTCTCCCTGGCTGTCCTTACCCAGTCCCTCGCCCTTATTCCAGCCCATCTTCTCTAATAACTTGAAGCCTTTGTTTTCTGCTGCTATGGACCTGCCAAACAACGTAATATGAAATTGTTGACTTCTGTGAAGTTGCTTTATAATACGGTATTTTTTACAGTTAATCAATTTCAATACTTTTGTCGAAACGTCAAAAAAAACGACGTGAATATATGATGACGTCATAAGATGGCATTTCGTACAAAATTCATAGAACAGTATCGTTTTTCGTTTTTGACGTTTCGATAAAAGTATTGAATTTGACTAGTTGTCAACTACCGTATTAGGGATAGTTTGAGGAGCTGGTCAACATGTGTATGATTTTTTAAATATTTTTCTACTTACGTATTAATATCAGTACTCTGTGTCTTCTCAGAGTGGTGTGAGGAGCCCACGGTTTCTCTCCGTGCCTGCGCCCTGTCATTGTACGCAGTCTCCTCAATAGCTAGCGGCGGTTTCGGCGCGTACTTGTTCTTTAGACGAGCCAACTCTAACTGATGTTGTTTCTGTACGCTGCATGTACGCGTGTACGCTACTTTCTTCTCTTTTTCTAGCGCTGTAGAGTACAATTTTGTGTGAAGTGAAAAAAATATAGACATATAGTGACCAGATTAGCGATATATTAAAGAAGGGCCAAATTAAAAGTAGGTACCCTTATCCGACGAGCATGCATGAAAAGATTGATGACTTGATGAAGCGAAAGAGGTATGTAGGAATTGTAGTAATTGGCGTTCCCTAGTCACTGCGTACCCCCATGGGAGACAGGCGTGAAGTTATGTATGTAGGTATGTATGTATGAAGAAAATTATTGTAGTACATAAAATTAAGTGAATCGATTACATTAGTAAAGTCGTACTCAATGGTGATTACCGATCAAACATTCATCTACGCAGGTTCGCATTTATAATAGTTTTATCTATAGTAGTTTATCGCGGGTTACTCACGTGCATATACTGAGAAAAGCTCTACTAATTTCGAACCACAAAGGGTTTCTTAGGTAGGCCTGCTTGGTAGGCTGCGCGACATCGCCGCCACCGCGCACTCTGCTCATGAGGAAGAACCCCTCTGTCGTTCGAAACTAGTAGATCTTATTTCAGTATTTTTATTTGAGTAACCCGCGATTTTTAGTTAATTTAGTATGTCTCACGATAGTTATTATGAAAACATACTTATTTATTTTATTTTTATTTATTTATTTATTTATTTATAAACTAAGTACATACTACTATTATAACAGGAACTAATGTATTAACAGAAACTGGTTGCAATGATCGACATCTATTTACCTTCCATAAGCAGTCCGGGCTCGCAGTGTCCACACGTGTCGTTCCCGGGGTGTATGTGACACAGGAGCTTTGTTTCACCTATCTGTATAGTGCTCCCGTGGACAACCTGTGAAAGACAAACAAAATACACTCAGTATTATTTCTTTGCTAAAGGATATCATTAGCAGTAAATTCAAATAAACTGCTAATTGGAAAGGAAGGAATAAGAGAAACTAGTTCAAAAAACTCAATATTGTAAGAATCTAGACGTGCCTATTATGATTTCGTGATTTTTTGTATCTTACATTTATTTTTTTGTTTTAGGGGAATAATTGTTAGAATTTTGCCTTTGAGGCTTTACCACTGTTCAAAACCGAACTTATTGTTGAAGTCAAAAAATATTATTGTTCAAAAGTTGTCTCATAGCTCGATAGATGGCGTTGTCGCAATTAAAAGCGAGCTATAGCTTTCGTTACCAATGAAACTATAAGGTGAAATTGATTTGTAAGACCGAATAATATATATACCAGCTTAGATCAGTACACAGAGGCGATTTTATTTATATTTACCCCATCTTGTGTGCTAGTAGGTCAGCAGATCACCTAGTAGCTTAGCTAGGAAACAGTCACTTAATCTTGAGAAAATAGTAATATAACCCTCAGTTAAGGTCAATTTAAAAAAGGATTTCTTATTTCTTACCTCCATTGGTTCGCTTCTAACTTGACTCTCAGACATTCGAGTCCCGTTGAGGATGGTGCCGTTTTTGGAGCCGAGGTCTGTCATCATATACAAGTTGCGGTATGGGTCGAATTTTATATCCAAATGGGTCTGGAAAACAATAACAAAATGATAAAATTCATAACCTTATAATTATTAATTAATAGTTAAAACACTCTCCTACTTCATAAGATTTTTGTTAATATTTTCGGTATTACGTAATCAATACTATTGTTACGGGAGTGACCCTATAACGAAATAGGCGTAGCTTCTTATAGAAAATTATGAAATCGAAAACCTCAAAAATATTTTTCAACCCAAGGATAGAGAGAAGAGATGATTTTTCTACTGCGTTTATCTTTAGCGGTATAACCTTTTTTTCTATAATCTTTATACATATTTCAAAGTAAATTAAAGTTAGTTCTATGACACTCACCCTAGACACATTATGATCTTTGAGCAGTATAATGTGTTGTTCCCCCTCCCTGCCGACGGTACCGCCATCTTTGGTGATGATAAACAAGTTGCCCACGCGCAGTTTCGGGAGCTTCGTTTCGCGTACGATCACGCGCATACATGGTGGATGATGCTTCGCTACTGATTCTGAGAAACAAAAATAAATAAGGTTCAATAAATTTAGTCTACTGTTACAGTTTGTCTAGTAATCTTTTTCTTTATATTATATGGATAGATATATATTCTGCCAGCACCTTTAAGCGCATCAAAAGGAGAGCTCCACAGGACCAACTCCTGTCTCAGCAAAAACATCCAACTCGAGGGATGCAATCATTGGAGACGGGTACACCACAGGGTGTTCTCCGTACATGTCACAATACATGAACCTCTTAACCACCAGTTAAATGCCCAACTGGGCAGATTGCAGGGAAATAAGTTGATAAAAAAATTATATTAGATGGGACTGATGTTTGACAACTCTCTCTTGGTGGTAAGCGATGATGTGACCTACGATGGAGCATGTCGACCCATAAGCAACCCATTCACTCGGGCCTTGAAATACCCAGGTTATACATTGAATACACCATGTTGAATACACTCTTAATCTAATCTTAATCTATTAATCTAAAATTATATCTAACAGATTGCTTATTAAAAAATATTTGTTGATATTGTTTTCATGACTTTGAACTACAACACATCTGAGAGAAACAACTATTAACTACAAAACCTCCTTCACCTTTCCACCTTTTTGGAATAAATATTTACTACACAAAGTGCTGATCAGTATAAGAAAATCAACGACACATCTGCCTTGCTAAAATTACCATCATCAGTAGCTGTAGAAGTGCTAGCATTAGACTTGACGTCATCATCATCATCATCGGAACTGCTTGAGCTTGTATCACTGCATTCACCATCCTCCATTTCTTCTGGTTCACCTAATTTAGTAACTGATTCTTCAATCTGCTCTTCTTTGCTTTCTTTCTCATCAGTTACTGCATAAACCTTTAATTCTACTACTTCCGGAGAAGAATCTTCAGTCTTTTTATCCTCAGAAGCATCTTTCTTCTTTTTCTTTATCTGTTTCTTTCTTTTAGGATTCTTCGTGTCGTTCTCTTCTGCTTCTTTATCCTGTAATATAACATTTGGAATGTTGGTATGGTTGTAGCCACAGATTACTTTATTTACCTAAGGCTTTTCGGCCTCGGAGTGAAACCTGAGCTAAGTTTTTCGTCAGGTTATCTATATCATCAGTTCCTCCCACCTGAAAAAAAATGGTTAGTATTAGTTCAAATAATTTATTGTTATCATTAATGTCATGTATTTGAGATATGCCAAAACATTCCCAAATATTGTTTAAAACAGAGAATTAAAAACTCTCATAAGTTGGACTTGGTTAGATTCTTCTCAAGCAAAATAAATGACATTTATTTCAGTAAAACTAGGTCAGAAAATAACACTTATACATGTTTTCGTCCAATATTTAGCATTAAAACAAAAAATCTGATTTTCAATACCAATAGTGTAAAATTCACAAACCATTTTATGTTTTTTAGCCTTCTTCTTCTCATGGGCTATCAGTGCCTCATTAGTGGCGCTCCTATCAGGATACGAGTGGAATTCGAAGCACTTCTTGTCTTCCGAGTAGTAGTAGTAACATTGTGTGTCTGTATGGTAATACAGGCCTAATTCCTGAAAATTATGTACAATCAAATGATAAACCTTGATGTTCATTCTAGTTAGAAAGCTCTGTAAAACCTGCACAAAATGTAAATAATGCGAACTTAAACTGTCAAACACCGAGCGGTCACAGGTGACCGCAACCTACCTATTGTTCTTTAATTGTGTCTGTAATGACTGTACTCAACGAGTTCATATCATAATAAGATTCTCTATCACTGAGCTAAGTTAGTGACAAGGAAAATAATGTTAGATAACATGACATATGAAATATTAACCCAATTAAGGTAAAGCTCAAAAATGCAGACAACTTAACAGGTTACTGGGGTTCTGGCTCAAAGCTGAACAAGGAACAAATGGTTTTTGGTAAAAATCTGATAGTCTTTCTCACCTCTCCCAAGGCGGGAGAAGCAATTGGATGATTTTCCCGCCTCAAAAAAAGATAAAGTGATATTTTGTGTTTCATTTCAATCTCATTGTATGTATTATGTTACGTTATGTATATAACACTATCTACATAATGAATTTATTATAAATAGGCATACATACCGAATTGTAATAATAACCAGTCTTATAATCATAATACATTCCAGCTGATTCTACATACACCATCCCGGATTCTTTCAAGGCATCCTGAGCTACTTCTGCAACTTGCTCCGCTATACTTTTTGTTTCTTTATTATCATTTAGACTCCATCCAGAATCTTTTACTTTATGTTCAGTTTCATCTTTTTTTGGTGTTCTGTCAGTTTTATTGTTTATTTCTTTAGTGTTTGTCTTTTCTTCTTCAGTCTGTGTCCCAATACTCTTGGTCTTAACTTTTTTTGTTTTCTCTTTTTTGTTTTCTAATGTACCTTCATTTTTTCTTGAATATATTTCATCAGTGTTGACACCAATTTCTGGAGTAATATCTAGTTTACCAGGACCATGTGTAGCTTTTAAGTATGCTTGGTAGAAGTCAGAAGTTACCTGCACAGTAATGTGACGGTTACATCATTAATTATATGGAAATAGAGGTTGCATTAAAATATTTTATGATACAATAATATAACAACTACCGACTTGGCATTTTTAAATTATTACTGAAGAAGGTAACACGATTTTATGAAGGTAAGATACTTAGAGTCAAGAAACGGGGTCATTTAGCTTACTGTGTAGGGACTAAGTTATTTCTAGGTTAAAAGATTTTCTCACCATATCTTCGACACTAAGTTTGAGCCTCAATAGCTGACGATGTTTTTCTTTGATGCGGGATCTCAGCTTAAGTATTAGTCTTAAAATAACCGGCCGGTATTTCAAAGCAAGACGAAGTTTCCTCAAATTAAAACGTTTTTTAGGAATATACACAGGTAACTCATCCATTTTTTAAAGATTTATAAGATTCCAGGATCGACTACGATATATAAATATCACTTCAAATCTAAAATTTCTTGAAAACAATATTTATTTTATTAATTCTCGAATCCAGATAAATACACTCTTTTGAAAAAAATCACACTTTTGACAAATGTGACAAACAAAAATGACAAGTTGTTGATATTTTGACAATGACAGTAGTGACATTCGAAAATTCTTAAAGATTGCTATTCACGCATATTGCAAATTGTGGTTTAGTGCTCTATTTATTCCAGGGATGTTTAAACCATTGGTATAGGAATGCATTCCGATGGCTTGCAGGAAGTAAAACAATATTTTAGAACTGCCTCTTAATAAAAATTGTATGACCGCCAAAGCACTGGCGACGTCTCTGGTGTAGGTAAAGCTTCAGTTTCAAGCATTGTTGTTACATACACCCTGTCTTTTACCATTCTGTCTGACAAAAAAAGTAAGTGGGGCATTTTGAGATGTACTTTATCAAACGGTACTGATTAGTACCATCATTGGATTTAACCTTTTGTATGTCGGTATTTAAGACACAGTAGAAAACACATTGTCGCGTAGATCTACGTACCAGAGATTAATCAAATATGAATTTGCTAAACGCTATTTTACTCTTGACTTATTGAGTTTCAATTTTATGTATTATCGAACATAATACACTTGTATGTAGGTACCATTGTGCGGACGTGTCGGTGTAAAAGAATGATTTAGTAGTGCTACACGCCTCAGTGCTAACACTGAGCAAATCTATAATTTATAATTAATCTTAAAATAATTATGAAGTAAAATACACAGGTAAACAAAATTAAACACATTTACTAGACCAATTTTTATTTATTTAAAATAAAAAGCTCATTAATTACATAAATTATGTGCGTTTATAATTAGAATGATTTAAAGAAAATGAAGAGTAAGCGGACATGGATAAATTGAAAGAATCAATGAAATGGTACGGCCTTACGTGGACATTTAAGTACTCCTATTACAAAACTTGAGACAAAGTAAAGACAAATGAAACCTGAATGTGGCTGGCCTATAAAATTGTATATTTAATAACACTAAAAAGATCTATAAATGCAAAACTCTAAATGAGTATACAGTAGAAAAAAATACATCCAAAGGAAAAGTTATCATTATAGCTCATTTCGTTCAAGTCCCTAAGTTTACACAATTTGTTAACCTTACAACTATGGTAATATTAGACAAGTACAAAATGATATTCCATCCTTAAAAATATCTATTCGTAGCCTATAACTAGAGTCAGTTGTATATTCATTACAATATTATGTTAATTGTAATTCTTAGTTAACACACCAGCTAATCATGATCGATTCATGCAATATAAACAGCGATTCGTTAAAATGGCGGTCCGACGGTGACGTCATCGCCTTACTCAACAGTAACCTCATATGTACTTCACACACACACGCACTACCTATAAATATAACGTGTATGGAAGATCTACGCTAAAGGCTAAAATGTTACACTTTCGATATGTTTTATTTTAAATTACATTAAATAACAACTGTGAAACAATGGCACATTTTTAGCCAAACAATGTAATTACTGTTGTTTTGGTACATTAGCAAATAAATTAGGTGTAGTTTAGTTTAGGTAATTGACAATATGTCAACTTGAAACTTCGATATTTTCACGAATATTATATTAATTCAGTTCACATAGTTTAGTTAACATAAATCTCTCTCAACTGCCATTTGTAAACGATTTAAAGTTTAATACGAAACCATTCACGCATTCGATTGAACTTCGGCCTTATTCTAAGAGCTAATGTAACATCATCTACTTCAACAATAACGCTAGGTACTTTATTTTATTGTGAAGTCTCCAGTTTTATAATATAATTGAAAAATGACGTCACGTTACCCAAACCGGTAGGAACGAGCAATGTCGTGACGTGCTTACATTATAAGAAATTCGTAGTCACATTAAACTGTGCACAATTCCTTAATTCGTCGACAACGGGTTACTCCGCTAACTAATTTATAAATGCATCTCATTAGAAGAGCGTACATGCTGTCTAAGTATTTAATATATGACAGCGCGCTAGTTAGAAATAAATAGATCGTAGAAAATAACTGCCGGTGCTCGCGTCGACTAGTTAAACGATATCGCAGTATTTTAATAAATCGAAAGTACTTCGTAAATAATTAGTTTACTATATTGACGGGATTGATACGCCCCCAGTTATGTCATCAACTTTTCATTATTTAAGATCGAAGTTAAATGGCGGACATGAGAGGGGGGCGTTGTGGGTGAATTTAGGGGGGTACGTAGGGGGGTGGCTTTCTGTAGGTGGGGGTGGCCTTAGGGCGCGCTGGTTGGGGTGTACGGGCCGCCGCGAACGGGGGCGGCGGGCGGTAGGGCGCGTCGTCCGAGGCGCGGTAGTCGGGGGCCGGGGGGAGCAGCGGGGGCTTCTCATCGCGCATGATGACGGGGCTCTTGTGCGCCGCCTCGGCCTCGCCTCGCTCCTCCAGCTCGTCCTGGAATATCACCGGGATCCCCTTCGACCGGAACGCCTGCCTCTCTTCTTCGTCACCCACGCTCATTTTACCTGCAAAAACATACAGTTAGCCTTGTACTAAGTCTAATACAACACTAAAAGCGAGCTTTACTGTTAATGCTTCCCGTGCTTGCTTTATACTCGTTTATAGCCGATCTTATACATGTGCAATGCTTTTGTGATATATTTTTGAATACATATTCCACGGTGGCGCCCCTCAAAAGGTTACTGACGCACCAAACTATTTTTCGATGTGAATTTTAGACATAATACTTATATAGCAATGAACTTTCAAGCATTTATCTTGTCAGGTGTATTATAGCGTAGCTAAGCGATATAGTGTGATTACATTGTTCGATATAACGCAGCGCTAATTTTGACGATTAATGTAACTCCAATACGTGAAAAGCAATAAGTAGTACTCAAAAATAATGTGGAACACTAAAATGCTTTATCGTTTCAAATCACCTTATTATTCAAGCATTGTCACCTCCTACAGAATTAAACTAAACATTAGTTTATCCTTATACAAATTCAGTAACATACTTTATGACCGTTTAGGACACACATCGCGATTTCTAAACACTAAGACTACAACACATAACGTATTTTAATTCAGTGCTTGCCCATCCTAAACAGTCTAGTAATAAAAATAATAAAATTTCTTTACCTGTCCTCCGCCGCCGATACAGCACACACGCGATGATCGCAGCCAACAGGATCATACACACTATCACAATGGCCGGGATGATGAAAGTCACCAAATAATTTGGATCAGCTGCGTTGCTAGCCTTATTGTTCTGCGAGTTGGATGATCCAAACCCAGGCACATGAATTGAAGTCTTAAGTATCTTAGTATTCTGTTCAGCGCATAATCCAAGAGGTATTAGCCTTATAGACATGACTTTAAAGTCCTTATCGAACACATGATCAACGTTTTCTTTGAGGGCACCCCCCATTGAGCCTCTCTCGTCTACTATGATCATTTTGCGTAGTTCCTCGATCTCCTTTTTAGGGCATCGGTCCATTGGTAGACTTGTGTTATACCTGGAAGACAAAGAAGTTTGTGTTTATGCCTTGAACATATACATATACACATACGTATACATGCGGATGAATATTTTATATTCATCAGCCAATGTTTCTTTTATCACTTTTAGAAGAACTTCACTTGTAGCAAAACATCTTTCGAACGTTACAATAAGAGTTGGAGATAGAGAGAAAGTAAAAAGAGAGTGAAAGAAAGTTACTTACCAAATGATAGTAGTAGGATTATTGGTGATGCTCTGTATCCTGATATTATCGGTCTCCTTCTGTCCAAACAGTGCAGCCAGCTTCTCAACCACTTTGCGCTTGTTATTGGCATCGTACGCCAGCATGGGGAATGGATACTCCATGGTCATCTGGAACTCCACCGTCGGTCTAATGGTGGGTGCCTTCGCTACTTCTACTATTAAACTGTCGTAAGCGCTCTTTTTGCTTGAGTCTTCCGCTATCTGTAATTGTAAGAAATATGTTTTGTATAGGTGTTTTTCGAAAATGTTCGATATAATAATTGGTTTTATAAGTCAATGGACGACAAAACCAAATTAAAAGCATTTTCGAAATCTTATATTGGAAAATTACCCATCATACGGTATTCGTAACATTTTGGTCTTCGAAAACTATGATTTTAAAGATATTCAAGAGCCATTATCAATCGGAATACGTCTACATTGGAACAAAGTCATCTTGGTGTAGTGGTATTCAGAGTTGTATTTCCATAATGTTTAAAACCTCCTCCCTTATTTTGAAGTCGGTTACAAATGGAAATGTTATATTGTACTCACCAGTTGGTAAGACACACTGCCCTCGTCACTAGGTGCAGGTAATCCGTAGAACTCCTGGTTCTTGGCATCGAACTGCAACCAGTGCCCTGCAGGCAGCTCGGTGCGGTCGCTGTACCGGAGGGATAGAGACAGGCTGCGAGTGTCACCGTCTTCGGGGTCGAAGAACGTGTCCTGAAGATTTAAGAATGATTTTTAGTATTACTTTTGAATATGACAACATGGTTAGTGTGGTGGCTGGGCAATCGGCTGCCACGCAACGTGATGCGGGTTCGATTCCCACATGGAGCAACTCTTTGCGTGATCCAGAAATTATTGTTCCGGGTCTGGGTGTCATGTATATGTGAACTTGTATGTATGTGAACTTGTATGTTTGTAAACGCACACACGACAGAGGAGACAATCCTAGTGTGGGGCAACGTTTTATTTTTAAAACAAAAAAATATTATTTTAAGTATTAAATAAATTATTATGTACTACTCGCTCAGTAGTCATGAATATGAGCCTCTAGCATGGCTTGTCTAAGCCTAGGATGCTTGAACTAGTCGAGTTCCTCGTCAAATAATTACGTGAGTAAGCCGAAAACATAATAATTTATTTAGTATGTCTCACGAAAGTTATAATACATTTTAAGTATTTATTGGTTCTTTAGTATGGAAAAGAAATAGAAAAGAAAAATGTAACTATTATTGAGATAACAAATCTAATAGAAGAAACTTATTTTTATTAACTCGAATTCTCTTAAATTCACTTACAAATATTGAATTTGAACAAAGTTTATTACCTCGGGCACTTTATATACGAGCAGATGTCCGACGGTGGCGGTGAGATGGTCGACCTGGTTGCGAGTGACGGGCGGGTAGGTGTCGGGCGCGCGCGTGGCGGGCGCGGCGCGCGCGCACGGCCCCGCGCCGCGCCACCGCACGCCGCCCACCTTCAGCTCGGGCTGCATCGCACGCGCCAGGCTGGCGGAAGGATTACCTGCTTCGGTAGGCGACTCCATTATCTGAACATAGTAAAAAAAAATACGCCAGTGTCACTTAACAATGAAATAATCACAAAGAATAATATTATCATTTTTTCATTAAAAATAACTTCTTTAATTAAAGAATCATACATAAAATAATATCCATACATATAATAAATTGTGAAATATGACACACAATTAGATAATACGTAATCAACTTTTGACCTCGATCACAGATTGTCAGTAGACACATTTTTATACTAAAAAAAACAGTACTGGTATCTTTACATTTAGGTTTACCAATTAATCCTAACATTAAACTCACCTTCATCAACCTATTAATATCATCCATGGGGCAGGCAGGATCCTTCGGTAACGTGTCATTAGTCCATACAAATTCACACAGGTCACCATTCTGCGTAGTGTTAAGTACAGTCAAGTGATCCATATCAGTATCCCTGAACAGATTAACAATGCCTTCTAGCGCTCTGATTTGCCAATCAATGGCGTTGTTATATTCCTTGAGAAGTTTAAATTCTAGAATGAACTGGTGGTTAATGGTGCGGCCACTCTTGTGTTGTTGTACTGTGATGTCGAGGGGCCCGCGAGCTACCAGTCCTTCGCTGTCCTGAGCTTCTACTATGAAGTTCCAGCGAGATACGTGGGCTTCTAACGGTCTGAAAATAGAAGTTTAGACGATTTATGACTCAATTTCATAGTAGAAACGGCGGAAATCCTTTGTTTGTTGCTAAAAAAAAAAAATTTAGCAACACTAAGCGCAAGATTTAAAAGACTTTTTACGTTTATTGAGAGACTAATTTTGCTTAAGCTACCTCAAATAAATTTTCGACCTTGTTACTTCACAATAAAACTCGATATCTAACTACGACTCTACATTCTCGATGCTTTTAATGGAACAGCAGGTTCTGTATATACTCACAATCCATAAACTTCTCTGGCGGCGGGAATGAACTGTATCCAGGAGTTGTTGCTGAGCGGCACGTTCTCTGCCTCGTACATCGTGAACGTCAGGTTGCTGCCCTCCTCAGGGTCCGTGAACAGATCCGCTGGGATTATGTACCTGTGTAAAGATAATTTGTCATTGTACATGTATTTTATCATTGTGGAACGACGATAGTCAACAGATTGTAGGCCACAATGGCATGGATAAGAATAAGGTATGTCTGAAAAACCGTACGGTTTTTTAAGAGCTGTTTTAACCTAAGGAGGGGGCAAATTTCCTGTAATACGTATCGCCAGCGACGTCGGGTGAAATAGCGCGACATTGTCAGACATTGGTCAACATTTCTGGCAACATTAACGTCGCTGTTGTGGCCATATATGTATATCGAGCGAAATTGTCCAGCCGGACAATTTGACACAATTTGAAACAATGAAGCCTCATTTGATATGACGATACATGTTAAGGGACGAATGTCCCAAAAATTCGTCCCTTAGCCAAGGATACTTGGCTTTAGAGACTATAGATTTGACAGAGATTCATAAACTTAAGACTTTTTAAGCTATGCGATCTCTAACCCGTCAGCAGCATATAAATTATGACAAAGGAGGTTTTAAGTAAAGGAGGCCTATAGAACATGATGATGAAGTTTTAAAATGATATCATACCTGAAAGCCTTGCCGGCGGTGATGGCGAGTTTCTTCATGTGGTGTTTGAGCGTAGGCGGCTGGTTGATAGGCATGGCCCATGTCACTGTCTCTGTTGTCTGACCGATTATTGTACTTCTACCCTCTGTTGGGTTCGTTTCCTGTGTCATTCAATAATGAATGAATATACAATTCTATTGGATTTAGGTTTTTTGATTAAAGTAATGTAATTTTACACTTCAGTTTTTGTTGATTTCTTTTCTCAGATGACGTGGATGGTCTAACCATAAAACTGTTTATTCAAAATGCAAAATATAATACAAATATGTGCAAAAGAAATATGTTTACTGTTATGTAGTGCACTTACGATAGTTTTTGCAAACAGAGATAGGCAATAATTTACATTTATTAAAACATTTATAAGGAACGGTCCCACCCGTAATATACAACAGAGAAGAGATAGTAGGAATTTACACCATAACTAAAATTTTTTAAATCTTTTGCCAATTAATAATAATAATTCAGACAGTTTGCTGTTAATTTATTAATTTAGAAATTGTTAATAATTATAATTAAAATTATTCCCATTGATGGCCAATCACAAACACGTTCGCACACACGATTCATATTAGTATTGATGTACAAGGAAACTAAAACTAGTTTTGATACTTGATGTGATGATATAGGACGCTACGTGGCTTTAGTGTTGTACTTACATCTACGTACGAAGCATGGCGTTGGATACCGGGACCATATTTCCAATGTGAATATCTTATGAGTATCTAGTAGGTAAAATTCGATTTGTGATGTTTTTACTTAGAGCGCATTGATCTTCGCATGTAAAACAATCTTCAGACCGGAAATATGTCCCGGTTGGATGTGCAATCCCACTACGGACCTGTTTAGTAACCTCCTGTACAGTCGTCTCTGGCGCTTGTGTCGTGGTTGGAGGCGGTGGAGGTGGTGGTGCCATCGTCGTCGTTGATGAAGTAGTCGTAGGCGCTGGACTTGTAGTAGTCGGTGTAGTCGGAGTTGTCGAAGGCGTAGTCGTCGGCCTCGGCGTAGTAGTCGGTTCAACGTACGGCGTAGTCGGTGACGGTAACTCCGGCAATGGAGACGGCGACGGTGACGATGACGTCACATTATCCCTTTCCGTTGATGACGACATCGGTGGTAGTTCGTTCGACTCGCGTATTATAACCGTTTGCTGAAAGTGCCATGCGGACGCTCACACGATGTGTTGTGATACAGACGTTAAGACAACGTTATAAAGTCCAGATTCGTATGTACAGAAATTTGAAAGGTATTTACAAGGAATTAGTCCCAGAAAGATAGAAGAAGTCCCAAGCTTTCCTTATGGTTTTATTACATTTTACATACGACCCACCGTATAATTTACCGTTGTCTACGCGTCCAAGATTAGTTGAGAACATATTTACATACAAAGTTACTCTAGATGGGGAATGAATTACGTGAATCCCTCAAATACCCGATGTTAAGAAAATCAAACTCACACAAATTAGTTCCAAATTTTACAGGAGTGAGGTTAAAGAAAATGAGACCTTATATGTGTAACAATACATACCAATTCTGGTTCTAGGGTGGTGGTTTCTTGAACGACGACTGGAGCTAAGGTGTCGAATCGTCGGGGGCTTATAGGTAGTGTTGGTGCCACCGACATGTTAACGTTGCTTGTTTCCGATGGTGAAGCCGACAGTGCGGTGATCCCCACTTCATTGTGCTGCAGAAATATATGACTTTAGTTCTTTCTGTTAAGGTTCAATGTTCTGTGAAGTGTATAGGTGTAACAATGTGCTGTTAGTCACTGTCTGTTTGTGACTTGGATTGTTAAACGCCTACTATGAAAGTATTTCTTGTGGCAAAGTTCTTATTTTTGGTATATTTAGAAGTGATTGTGTATTTCTTGTAAAGTTTTAAGTAGAGTAACTTCTTTAGTCGTTGTTATGGCTATTTCATAGTAGGCGGCCCGTATTTTGTCTCTAATAATTAATTAGTCAAAATTGTTTGTTAAGGTACAAAAGTTATCTAGTATCAATATTATCACAGTCATGCTCAGTGTTTACAAACACAGTCTAATTTCTACTACAAATGCACTAGAGTTCATATTGCATTGACAATAAATTGACAAAATATAAAAGTAAACATTCCAAAATAATATAGAACATATTCTACACATATAGATGTAAAACTAGACGCATTCACGTTAGACTAGCTGCAATACTGGGTATCATAAAATATGTACAGGATACATTTCAAGACCTTATTAATCTAAGTAGACAACTAGACATACATTAAAAATATACCTGTTTCGGATTAGCATCAGCCTGTTTGAAGGATCTAGCTTGCACAACTGTTTTTAGACCAATACGAGTATGTTAATTTTATTTCTATGGTCGCCTTTAGTTGTATTAGTTAGAGTTCAAAAAGACTGGAGTCATTGTTAATAAATTAACTTATCTAAAAAAACATTCATCAACTACATTTCTAATAATTGCAATCGTAGCATGCGACCGGGCCACAACACGCACATGCATGACACGTAAACTCGAGAGCGGGTTACGACAAACCTCTGTGGTATACGAATTAGTTGTGGGCTCAGGAGTGGTTTCTTCGCGGGCTTCTTCTGTGGTACTTGGTAGGGCACTCGTTGGGGGAAGTGTGGGGGGATTCGTTGTAGGGGGTGGGGAGGGGGACGGGGATGGTGATGGCGGTAAGGGGGAGAGAGGGGGCAGTGTGGCAGGGGTCGGCAGCGGAGCGGCGCTCTCGGTCTGAAACGTGTCGGTGCTTGTGTGTGGCGCGCCGGGGGCCGGGGGGAGCTCCCCGTGGTGGTGGCGGTGCGGGTGCGGCCCGGGGGAGGGGGCGGGGGCCGGCGCCGGGCCGGGGGGAGGGGGAGCCACCTGCGGCACAGCCGCGACACACACGCACGTTAGTACTGCCTCCCTTACACGTACCCAAGAGCGCTGTCTGTGGTTATTCCACATGGACTCAGATATTAAAGCGGCATCAGCGTCAACTTTCAACCCCTTCACAAAGGTACTAGCTACACGATGAGGAAACAACATTGTTAGTTCCGACTGGTACTCCAATGACACCAATACAGGTCCAATTTCACCAAGATAAGCTGGTTTTGCAGTCCTCTACAATCGATCCTAGATTCAGTTAGTCTAGATCAGCCATTTTAATGCAACACTATAGGTTTTATTTAAATTAAACATGAATTAGGTGCAAATTCACTGCAAGTTTCATTGTTATTGCATTGCTGAATGTTATTTAATTATGCAGTTTTGTAGTGATTTAGTGTAAAATATTCGTGTGGAATAGCGATACAGTGCATTTGAATTTGAACTTTATTGATCGCTTTTATAAGTGTAAAATTTATTGTAGTTGTTTGACCACGCCCTTAATGTTCTTAGTCCATGCGTTCACTCGCTTTAGCTTTATTTATGCTCCAGTTAGTCTGTTTATGTACAGTGATAAGCATTTATGTAAAGCGTTGTTATAACCACACACAAAGCTCAAAATTGTTTTTAGGTATAATTATTAGGTAAACTTAATTAACAAATTATGTTTAAAGTCGTCGTAAGTGAAGTGGATGTCAAATGAATGTTAGGATTGAATGTAAATTATAAGAGGTTCATTTGGATGTAACATGTATGAGTGATGTTGATTCTCTTGTGAACTTTAATTTGGATTGTCGCTCTTTCATATCTATACCGATAAGAATGGACTGCGTAACGTATGTACATGAATATTTTTATGGTGTACAATAGAGATGTTTGTATTGTATTTTATTATAAGAAAATACATGATTATAACAAAGTAAAAAAGCATATTTCTGCCACAGTTTGAATCCGAATGTTAGAGCACATTTTAAGTGCTTGTTGTAAATAGCTTCATATGCCTATCATATCATAATGTCAGTCTGTGCCAATATTTGAAAAATACTCAAATAAAACAAGTCCGTGGTTGGCATAGACCACGGACTGGTTTAGAATCAACTACAGAATCGAATTAAATATTAATTTTTAAAAGATATCCATTTCTATGTAGCTTCTTTAACAAAAAGGGCGACATTTAAAAACTCCAAGTTCTGTACAAGAGAGTGAACTTCAGTTTAACATAAAATAACCGGGTAGGGTTAAATAATAACGTATTTCTTTATATTAACCAAGTGATTACATGATACTTCATTCAACATTCCATGCTGTGGTTCTTACGAGTCGCTATATAATGTGGTGACAGAAAAGTGCAACATATGCATTCCGGAGATAATATATGGGATGACTAAATTATTCATTGGGAAATACGAACCTTTTCACAAGTATTTATTTAACTTGCGATATGAAAATTATATTTATTATATTACTAGTTTCTTCCGCACGGTTCTACCCGCTGGTCGGCTCCTTTTTTTGATATACTATACTACAGAGTTTGATAAGGTCGGGTTTTGCAAGCTGTTATATATTGAACAAAAAAAGTATCTGTAGTGTCGGTCGTGTCTGTCGTATCTGACGTGTCGGTCGTGTCTGTCGTATCGGTCGTATCTGTCGTGTATGTTGCATCTGTCGTGTTGGTCGTATCAGTCGTGTCGGTCGCCTCTGTCGTGTCGGTCGCATCTGTCGTATTGGTCGCATCTGTCGTGTCGGCCGTTTTGCCGTTTCACTTTTAACTGTCTGTAGACTTCCATGAATATTTCAATACCAAAATTAGCCAAATCGGTTAAGCCGTTCTTGAGTTTTAGCCAGACTAACGAACCGAAATCCATTTTTATTTATACACATAGGTAATAATTGAACGCGTGTGAAGTGGAATCCTTCACCAAAATTTTTAATCGTTTTTTAAGTGTGTTACACTCTACACTCTCACTATTATAAGGTAACTGTCAAGGGAAATTGTTATAATCAAACCAGTCTTTATAAGTATTCATTAGTTTTTTTTTAATTTGATACTCATTTCAACGATAGTAATGGGTCTAATATAACATCATGACTCATGTCCTATTTAAAATATCATCATTATTCATCAGAAGATTTTAATTTAATTAGACACGACTTCTTATGTATTCGTTTAGTAATTAGTATTTTTATTGCCAACAAAATGTTTTATGTATTTATTTAGTATTCTCATTGGTTCGCTAATCCTGGTTTAAATACATAATGTAGCTACACGTGTCACAGTAAACCTTAGTATACACTTCTACGCATAATTTAAACAAAACATTTTATTCTTTATAGCTGTATTTCCCAACGAATAAAAACGAATGATGCATAAAGTACTAAGAAATATAGAATGTATGACAGTCCCACACTAGAATAAAATATGACTTGCATTGATTAAATAATGATTCATTTGTATGAAGAGAATTAAACTCTTATGAAAATGTTAGAAGATGTTTTATGAGGTGTTAAATGGGAATTAAAACCTTCACCCAATAAAATAAATACCATTTTCCAGTAATCAGAATGGAATAATCCATTTCCGCCGAAGCCATTATTATTATTTGTTCTAGAATCTAAGTATAACCCATTCAATTTAAATAGACATCAATAAAACATCGATCATACTTCGTGGTTTGTCTATAACATATTGCCTGTATCTTTTACAGGATTAGCAAAGATACAACGCTGTCATAGGTATACTGTCATAGTTATAGATATATAGACGACGATCACAACAGTTATAGTTAGGAATAGACTTATGACAATGTCACTGTATGAACTCCAACATTAATTTGTGGTGACAAAATATCTTTGCAATGAACCCTTTCAAATATTTACTCATTAAAGAAGACTCTTTTTCTATTTACTTTGCAATATGGACCATTTTTGTTTGGCACATTTTCATTTACAAGGCATTCTAAAATCTACTTTATGCCACTATTTTCTTAGCAATACGGTTGATTTTTACACCACACCGTTTCATCAAAACAGAGAAAGACAATTCAAAATCAACTTAACAGCAGCACACTTAATGTGTACATTCCAATACAATGACATAGTCCGTAGTCTCCCAAGTATAATATGGCAGAGTGACAGTGAGTTGGCGTACTGACCAGGTCCGTGATGCCGACATCGTTGTTGGCGTATCCGTCCTCGTCATCGTTATCGTCGTATCCGCTGTAGTCGGCGTCGGCGTCCGCGTCGTCGTCCTCGCCGTCGTATTCCGCGTCGTAGATGCCGCCGCCTGAACCGTCCAGCTGGGGAAATTCATTATACGTTTTTTATGAAACATATGTAAGTACATGTCGTTACTATTGGGGTACACAGAGACAATGAAACGCTAAATAATACGATTCTGGCATATCTCTTCGACTTTATCTACATTCATTACTATCTTCATGCATGCTCGTCGATGTAGGGTGCTTTTGAATTTAAACATAGCCCAGGACGATCTGTACATACTTTTTTTTAGCTTCTATCACAGACAATACCTGTTTATGCAAGCACGCCACACCTGACATTATTTTTGCTGAAATGTTCAGTATAATAGCACTTAATATTTAGAGATAAGACAACATTGTATCGAATTAAGAGTTAATTTTGGAATGCTTATTGCTAAAGTAATAGAGTTCATAATAGTAACTATATTATAGGTACACAAGAGAAATCATTTTAGTTAGAACCTCAATCAAGTTCCTTAGACTTAAAAGTTATACCATTTATTACCTGTCTCTTAATTCTGGGCGTGGGCTGAATGGACTGCAGCCTCCAACCAATGACAGGCAGTCTCAGGACATGCGCTAGAGTGCCGTCCCGAGCCTGTTCCCGCAGGCCCGCTACTAACACTTTATGGTGATTCCATAACTTTTGGCCGCAACCCACCTGTAAAGAATAAAATATTGTTTAAAAAATATTTCATATTCTTAAGGTAAAGATGAAAATAGTGTAAAAAGTAATATCTGTTAAAATATTAAAAGTATTTAAAGTATAAAATATTTTGTAGTGATTTATTTACTTATTACAGTATTAACAACACATACATGGCTACATCGTATAGTTCATACCAGTTCGTTTATGATATCTCGTCATTGGTTCTTTTATTCCGAAATAGACGAACTAAATGTATGTTTACGGACAAGTATCCAATATTTTTAATTAAACTACTAGACGAACCCTAAAAAGAGTATTACACAACTATCGTATTGTTGAAAGAAATTAATGAGTTTATAGTCCCCAAGACTACGGTAAATAGACTCATTAATTATCAAATACATTATTATATAGTTCTAATTGACTTACATTAAGATAGATGGCAGTGGTGGCGTCTCCAAGCCGGCGTTGTGAGGAACCAGTGCCACTCATGATGGTGTCAGCGTGAGCTTCCGCCTTGTATGGCTCCATCCAGAACTCATCCTGGAAATGATAGAAGTACATTTTAAACTAGTAGTTTTATAATAATTGCTTTGTATGGGGCTTCTTCAAACTTCGTGAGATTCAAAGCATCCAACCGACATAGGTATGTACCTAAATCATGTGATTTCCATTGCCAAGTAGTTTTTCCAGAAGAACACTTGAAAAGTTAAAATCACTTTTGTTAGTATGGAATACAGTGTGGTATGTACCAACTTACCCCATCAAGCGCCATGAAGCTAGCGAGCTGCATGAGCGCTCGTATCCTCTGGCGTGGCGCCACCTTGTGGAAGGAGCCGTCAACCATGATGACCAGCACCAGTCGGCTCTCCTCGCCCACGCACGACCCATACTTCGAGTGAGGTCTGTCTTGAGCTTTCTTCACCTATAATTGTAATAATATAATGGATTAAGTTTTTAAATATTTTGCGCTTTATATCTTAGAGATAGTAGTAGTTCTTTCGGAATAGTAAAGGGGAAAGAGAAGGATATGGCGGGAAGATCTCGACACGTATCAAAGAGATTGGCTACAGAAAGTTCTATGAAGAGACGAGTGGATGAAGGGTAGGGAGGCCTTTGCCTTAGCCTTTAGAGTGTGACGACCATGGCCAATAAAAAAGGAAAAAGTACATGAAGGAAGGAAAAAAGGAAAAAGCTCATAGATAGATTATATTATGTATGATGTTATTTATATCTATCTATATATATATGTATGATTATATATATTACTATATACGTATTTTATGTGTGCTTTGATGCTCCTTATTAATTTTGATAATTACCACTAACATCTTTGCAGCTTACCACCTACCACATACATTTCTGCACTACCCAAAGGATGACTGGCAGAGAATGCTGTTAGCATTAAGTCCTCCTTATGCAATTGTATTGTATAAAACTTAAATAAATAAATAAATAAATAAAGAAGCATAAATTAAACCATAAGAACTGACGGTAAATCCTAAACATTTTTATAAGTAGGTTTATAGAAACACATAGAATATCGATTACCTACATAGTGACATTGACGTAGTATAAAAAATGTAAATGGTGCCTAAAAATACTGAAATAGCAGTAAATAGGAGCTCTTAGAAAGTGACTCAATATGGAGGTCGACAATTCTCAAGAGGAAAAGTAAATAGAGACAAACTGCGGATAAACTTTTATAAAAAGTAACATTTTGTGAAGTGTCCTCTTTTCACAGATAATAAATGCCATCACATCTGAGTAGGCGGAATACTGCGAAGTGTACCGCCATTTTTCCTTAAAAATATAACCCCTATATCAAAGGCAGTCTGTAAATATTCCATCGCGAAAATTAATTAAATTATGCCCACATCCAAATGAACAGACATTCAAATAAACTTTACGGAGCCAATCTTCAGTCTAATATCACGTAAATGACAAAAATGAGGATACAATTTCCGCCTAATCATTACCATGACGGTTCAAAACGAAAATGGCGGGCTTTTAGAAAAATGTTGCCATATTGAAATAAAAATTCATTTATTAGACACCGCACCCTCGTTGGCTAATGTAATGTCAATAATATAATTGAATGGCCGTATAAACAAGCCAACTGTCGCAAAATTATATTTAGATACATGAGGAGAATATACATGTAACATGTAGTTAAGTAACAAGCACTTTAATTTTATGGGTGTAGTGTCGCCAATGAATAAAATGATTGATTTATGTTTTACAATTCACAACGGTACCTATTCTCATGTGTTAAAGTCCATTTCATGATGAGGGACCGTGTCTGTGCATATTTTAATAGTAACTAGGTATGCTATTAAATAGACTATCGTCTAATAAACGGGTGGTTGTTTCATAAAACTATCAATTACACAATCACGATATATCTTCGTAATTGTCGGCTGTTACATTTCAGTTGTATGACGAACTATCATTAACTAAATGTGACGTCATTAGATACATAATACATGGATAGATCACGTATAACGTACGGACATTTTTGAGCGTAGTAGCATAGAATAAGTAGTAGTGGTTATTCACTCCGGTAGTAAGGAAGCGGGAGGTGTGTATCGGTGACGTCACTTATACGCGACAGGAACACTAAGTCCACAGGACGTGTGTGTTCCTCTTACGTCATCGACTATAATGCTAACATAGTATAATCGGGCGATTGACCGTTGTCGTTACAAACTTACAATACTTCCTAGTTCCTCTGTTTTAGAACTCTCTAAAGTTGAATTTAAACCGTTAAAAACTATTATTGAAATTTTATAACAATAACAGCAATGGGACGTTTCTCGTCATTCGATTTCAGAAATAATAGAGTAGAGAGCGAAATGGGGGTCATTTATTAGCCCTTCTGGGAATGAAAGCCATGATGGTACCCCGGCCTATTGTTGATAGACGATCTCCAGAACGAAACAACAACCAATTTCCAGTTTATTTGTTACGCGGTCTTTATATTTCTCGCATAAATATGACTCATGATGTTAAATATGAAATGTAAACAAACCTCGATAGTGAAAGAGTCGGTGGCAGTGAGTCCGCGCGTGTTTCCGTGCGCGGTGACGGTGAACGTGTGCGTGCCTAAGTCCTGCTTTTGGGGCACGCCGCTGATCAGACCGTGCCTCGAGTCCACGGCCAGCCAACTAGGCATGCGTCGACCATCTTCGCTTCGTACCTGGTTAAAAAAACATATGAAATAAAGTGACAATAAAAAGAGTCGAAATATAGGTACTACGAGCGGCAGTACACTTTTGCAAATCCGTGCATTCATTATTCAAGTAATCAAAGAAATTGTTGCGTTTCTCAACACAGCTTTATGTATATTGCTATTCCATTTTAAGTTATCTACAGCACAAGGCCCAGTTTCCTTTACGTAGTGAGATTGCAGACTCTTGCGTTCAGCCGAGCGAATGGAAGCTAAGTGCATCCACATCCACACGTCTTGTTTTATACGACTTTTTAACGCAAGGACCGTAAGAGAACGTTTATTTTTAGAGCGGATTTCTTTACAGAACTTAGGCTTAAGTTAAGCTCAGTTATTTTTCTAAAGAGCATATTGATTTTATTGTTACCCACCACAATTTAAGCTAAGAATAAACAGATAAAATGTATTCACATACCTTATACGCTACTACTTTTCCCGAAAAAGCTTCCTTTGGGATTTCCATTCGGAACAGATGTCCCACATAGGCCGATGTGTCGGGCACGCCCCATAACCTTCTTAGGCCATTTTTTGCGATTTCAGAATGGTTAGCTGTTAATTCAACCTGAAAGGTCAACCATAAAACGTTACGCTTCTATTGTTTAATCAGTAAATATAATTATGAGTTCTCTAAATACAAATAGTCGCATGCGTGACGTAATTTATGATTAATATTCTGATATAATAGGTGGAAATCCTGTTGGTTTATTAATAAGGAAGTGTTATTTTGTTGGGTATAAGAGGGTACTGACCAGAAATTCTTCGCTGTTGTCGAATGCGAAGTCGTCATCGTGCCTTGTGAGCGCGAGCGGACATAGCATGAGCAGAGCGCACGCGATGTACCGCGCCCGCCCCATCTCGCCTCCCCAACACTACCACACTCATAAACACATCTTGATCATCTGTGGACAATAACATACAATACTTTAGTAAGCTGTACAATCACACCTGTTAGTGTTTGTAAACAATATTCACTGTAAATCAATTATCGTATACTACTATACTACTACTCGCACTACTACTATTTCGCCGCGAGGTGACGACAGGTGCATTTAATTTTTATAATAACTATACTGGATAACAACCCAAAGGATAATTTTATTGGCTTTTGTCTATAATGCATATAGATAATCATAATCATATATCTTACGCCGCAATCATGTTATGGCTCGCACTATGTCAAACCTTAGACACGGCAATTTTTTAAACACCTTTATAGGAACTAAAGTGGCCGAGGGGCCGGTCAAAGATATTAAAGAGCCTTTTGTCTGACATGCAGTGACACTTGTAACATAAAGATTTCAAAAGGGTGTAGGCAGCACTGCTTTCAAGGCTTTGTGTTTCAATGTCAACTCACATCCAAACAATGGAAGCAAGTTGCTTACTAAAATGAAATATTCCTAACACATGTTCAACAAGATGTGCATTTTAATTTAGACATTGTTTAGCCGGTGAGATGCTGCGTTTAAATATAGACAAATTTTCGTTAAATATCGTGTACAAATGACTTGGTAATAAAGAAGAAAGAGAAGGGAGGGCAAACGGAAACGACTCGGGTACTGTTACACAGTTAAAGGCGCGTGTTGGCGCATAATGATTGGACACAAATAGAATGAGCTTTTGAACGCTCCCCGCTTTGCTTAGCATGCTGTCGCGAAACCACTTCAGGGAATACTTTTATATCCCTTTTAGAATAATGTAGCCTTTACTTTACAACCACTCGAGACGAGAGTCAATATTGTAAGAGCAACATTTAATTCCAAATATACTTTAATGAGTTCCAGTTAATTGTGTGGCTATTTAAGGAGAAGTAGACAGACGATCCGGCTCCGAGAAAACTTGAGAGACAACAAAGCTTAGGCGTGGTCGTTAGTTAACGAGACGCAGTAATCTGGAAGGCGAATACTAATGTACACAGAAATCCCACAGGGACAAGCCTAAATGATGTAGGTACGGTTTAGTTTCAGGCTTACAAAATAATGAAAGGTACAGTAGAGAATTCAATGATAATTTAGGAAATAAGTCTACACATTTTTAAGGGAAACGTAAACAAGCTCGTTAAAAATGATTTATGACGATTCCTTAAATTCTGGACATAACTCGACCACTCCAATTATTCTCAAGAAGAGCACGCGACGCGAAAACATTTCGGATGGGACGTGCTCAGCGATAAACGGTTGAGTAAGAGTTGTATTTCGTTTTATTAACGTGTTTTTATACGTTTTGTTTAAATTAAAAAATTTGAAGCGTAAGTGATGCCTCCTATAACTATAGTGTTAATTCTAGTAAATTCGCCATGTATTGGTGTATCGATATCGAAAGTCACAATTGCAACATGGAGCCTGTATTCGACACCGTGTTTAGCCATAAACTATAACAGCCCCCTAACACATGAGCTTAATAAAATAAATTGTGAAAAATGACTGTATAACATAATATACCTCAGCCTATCCCTCAGAGGGAAAAACGAGCACGCTGTTAGTTTTAGCTACATCGGCCTCGTACGAAGTTTGTGAATGATAAATATTTTTTACGTTAATCTGGGCGAGGGGGAAAAATTCTGCGGTCGTTGTGCGGATACAGGGGCGGTCAATCGATTTCGATCGGTTAGTTTTTTATAAAGCACACTATAGAGATGAGAGCACACGGGTGGATGTCGATAGAAATGATTCCATGACCGTATCATAATATCAGGCCTTAGCACCAATTCTGCTAGTGGCCTCTATTATTTGGAGCGAGTTTTTGTCATCCATTTACAATAATTTGGGACGCATTGCTACGAATCAAGAGTATCTGCAAAAATCTAAAACACGTTTGGCCATACGGGAAACGGACCTTTTACTCTAAGGTTGCATTTTCGACCAAATGACCACCGAGGTGGTGACATATGAGGCGTTTCATTGAATATGATCCATTTAAACCAATGCCAAATACATTAGCATCTGTATCTGATACCTTGTACAAAAATATGCTTCAAAGAATCGAATAATTGCCGGTCGATGACAACATTGTATCGGAATGATTAATGATATATTCGAAGAAGGACACGCGTCCTGCAATTATTCGATTAGAATGCAACTTTTGATATATTTGTCTGTGGATCTCTGGCAAAAAAGTATGTAGTTTTTCCAAGGATTTGTTTATTATCCCTGTTGCAAAATTCATTACATCATCAACCAGAAAACGTCCACAGTTGAACAATGACTTTCTGGGATGAAGTTTTGCCATAATTCCCAGATTTGGCAGGTGATTTGGAGATCACAGTATCATCGAGAATTTAAAGGAAGATTACTGCTCTTTTTCACTGTGCTCTTTTATAAGATGCAATTAGAACTATAGTAGAAAATAAGTATTAATATCTGAGGAGTTGGTATAGGTAGTATTAGCTTCATTTATCTATCTCTTACTTGAGGTGAAGATACACCGCAGTTGGTACAAATTAAGGCTGTTTATATTACACGCATAGTACACGGCTGTTTAGACTAAACGTGTTTCCGGCTCCGTTCATGTGTACTATGATTCCATTATGCTAGTAGGTATGTCGCTTTAAGATAATGTATTTGATAATTTCACGAAGAATATTCTATATTTATTTCTTGCATATTACAAAAAGTCAGATGCTTCACATACAACTTTGTCACACCATAAATATTGAATAGATTTTTATTGTTGTCAGGTCACCATGCCTAGAGGATGATATCAGATTGCTACTTAAAAATCGCAAAGATTTAAGTCTATTAGTAGAATTTTTGGGCGCGAAGCCAGTTACGTAGAAGTACACAAAACAAATTAGTATCTGCAGTACCATGTAAGATGGCTAATTCTTTCCCTATAAACAAAGTACTATTCGTAAAGACCTACTAAGTTTCCCAATCGTAAAGACCCGTAACACGTGTTTACGGCAGCTATACGACCGAGCTAGCATTGAATTATCCAGCCATCCTCAAATTGTAAACGTAATTAAAGACATTCAAACAAGAAACGATGACTAACACAATTTACTACTTTTGTTTATTTAGCGGTGTTAAATATTCTGCTGACTCTAATTGTAAACTGAGAATATTATTGACATACAAAAAAGGAAATGGTAAAGTCAAATGATTTGATGATCAAAAACTTTGGATTTTAATTTCAATAGTAGCAAATGCAGCAATATGTTTACGATTCACCTGGTATTGAGAAGAGGTATCAAAATATTAGACAAGGTAAAAATATTTGGTGACAGAGAGACCAAATTATTGGATACAGAAATGATTGACAGATAATAAAGAAGCCTGTTTGGAAGCACATATTTTAGTGCTATCGAGTTCAAGTTATTTTATAAGGAATTTGACGATATTGTATTGGTTTCGTTTGTTGACCTTGTTGTGAACATAAATATTGTAAATAGAATAAAAAAGTAAAACGTTTTATAGTACGACGGCCGTTGTCATCGAGGATGGGAATAAAAAAACGAGCATCGAAAACTTTTTAAGGGCCGACAGTGAAAAAGAAAATAGCACCATTTTTCCCAGTTTAGGAACAAGTCTCTAAAGCATTTACTTTTTCGAAAACTTTATAAACGGTAAAAATTTTTTGGAAGTTGCTAACTAATTGAGCCCCGTCATAATTACACGAAAGGGGGAATTGGGTCAGTTTTGTCATATGGTTTGGTGACTAATTTTCCTCATTCATTTAACAGCTTTGATACTGATCAATCTGAAGCGAAATTTCGTAAAATGTCTTTTTGATACAGACAGTCTCTATTTCAAGTTTGTAAGCATGTTAAAGGCAGCCAACCACTCTGGCAGCTTACCCTTGGGTTGTGAGGGGACCGCCGACTAAGAGGGTTACCACAATGGATCCTTTCCCCCGACAAAATCTCGTCTGCGTGTATATACGGTGTATGTGGAAATTGTTCAATACCTCGTAGACTTTAGTGCCCTTACACAGCAAATATGTAAATTATTTCAACCTAACAATTTCTTTCGCGCAATACAAACGGCCACATTAAAATTAAACAAACATCTAAACAGGCTGATAGAGATATAACCAAGCGACAATATTGACTGAGCTCAGCAAATATTTGCTTTGTAATCACTGTTTGTACTGTGTACTCGATTTTACTTTCTAATGTTACTCATTATTTTCTTTTAAACAAGGAAATTGAAAAGAATGTATCCCTTCGTGAAGGGTGGATACATGAGATACAACGTTCAAAGCAGAACCCCTAATAATCGGAGTTTGAGCTTGGGGTGCAAATATTATGAGACATTCTATCAAAACTTCTCGTGTATCGATAATTAAATGTCTTGAGGGATAAAAGGGAGACAAGGGCGAATTCAACGTAAAAGTTAATGCGCCACTCCAGCAACTCCAGTTGTAAAAGCTTATGGAGTATCAGGTGACTTTTTGCGTAATGAATTGCCGTCTCCGGGTGAATTTTCAGCCTCTTAAAGAGTTATTGCTTTTATATCCCTCACACCATATTATTCGCATTCACGATCCTCTAAAGGTGTTCAAAGTTAGTGTTTGCTGTATTTGGGTTCTAAGCATACGAATGGAGTGATGAATGCGAATTTTCCTGCGTTATATCATCCAACGCGCTACGTCACCAGGGGTATGAGAACGGCACTACATTCCGCATCGCATATTTAGGTCAGCTGGTAATCAGGCTCGTCATAACGTGAATAATTCACCGTATCAGATTGAATTTACTTCTGTAATGTTCTTTGCGTGCACGATGCTATCTGCTCACAGCTCAAGTTGGTGGCACCGACTCTTTTTAATGATTATGACTATAATATTTATTATTTACTCCCCCTTCATAAATTGCTTGGGAACGCGTGTTTGACCATGACATTTATTGGGGAGTTAACAAACAATGGTCAACAGTCAACATTGGTGGCTTTAAGGTTAAACA